ATATTTTTTTTCTCCATACATTTTATGTATTTTATTTGTTATATAATGAGTGGTAATTTAAATTTTTTATAATATTTCCGTCCAAAATTACTTTAAATTTAAGAAATCTGTATTTAGGTCATTTTAAATGTTTGTTTGGATATACTACTTGTTAATTAGTTGCTACATCATTTTATGAATAACTATGCATGGGTTCGATTCTTCAGGTGAAGTTGGAGTTCTTATATTTGAACGATTTTATTTACTTAGTCTATTTGCTTTTTTGTGGGTTTGTGGCAAATTGTGTAATTCAATATTGACCCACTTCTAATGAAGCGATTTCATTCAATTTTTCCAAGTAGGCTACATTCTTCTTCAATGATAATGGACGAATATAAATTTTTTAAAATCCTAATTAGATAGACAATTAGTCATTAAATTGTAATTTTAAAATGTCTAAATTTAGTAATAAATCTCAAGTGATTCCTGGATCAGCTTCTTTATTTTATAAACTTTCTCTGTTATTTATTTTCATTTTACAAATTTTGTGTGTGTAGCATAATACAAAACGTCTCATTTAAAATATTAAAACATGGATGGGAAATGTGCCCATTTTCTTAATTTAAAGTAAAACATTTCAATTTTTTTCCTCTATTTATATTTAAGTATTTCATAGTTTTAATCATTACAACTGCAACAACTCCAACAAACACGAAACAAATCCAGCAACAACAAAAACCACCTCTGCTTCAATCCAAGAATTGAAACCTTTACCTCCTGGAGAAGACAAGAGTTGGGTAGACTGCCTCTACAGTTTCTTAACTGACAGAGAGTAAGACTCATTATCCAATTTTCCGAAAGAAACCAATTATGTGTTAAGAAGAGCCAATTTACGTGCTCCGTTGGAGAGGTAAATATAAAAACTAATAAAGTATCATTGAATTTTAAGGTGCGGTAGGTTAAGAATATATATATATATATATATATATATATATATATATATATATATATATATATATATATAAGTTTGCTAAAACTTATATTTTCTTATATGTAATTGTACATAGACATTGCAAGAAAATGTAATTTCACGTGGAACAAGATTTTCAAATAGCCTCCCTTGGAAATTCGGTCTTTACCTAGACCTAATAAAATACTGGACTGAGTTTTTTTTTTTTTTATACAGGTGAAGAAAAAAATCTACCCAGGTGGTATAGAACGTAAGTTGTGTTTCGTTAAGGATGGCAAAGGCCGTGTCCTCATGGACAACGACGGAAAAATGGGAGATTACATACCACAGAACAATCACACACGATTTGTGTACCAGTTGGAATAAAATTGTTTAAAACACACTGGTTCCTTCATTATTTAAAAAATCATTCCTTTTATAGTGTTATTTTATCAGTTTCTAATGTTTTTAATAAATATACTTCAGTTGAGAGAAGAAAAAGACACTTAACTATTTTTAGATTTAAAAGAATAAAAAATAAACAATAACCGATAACCCAACATTTACTTTTCGAAAACGTTTTATCAGAGTTACAGATCTTAGCAAAGAATAAATTAGGTACGTGTGTTGACCGTGAATTTGATAAATAAGTTTCTATATGTTTTTACGCATAGAGTAAATCATAAGTGGTAAACTGTAAAAATTTCATATTGAAATGAGAAACTGATACGTTAATTTTTTCTTTTTTCAATTGGAAATATTTAAACATTTTTAGTTGTGTTAATAGTTTAGTAAAATTATTTAATTTAATAATAATAAAATTATTTATTTAATAAATCAAATATAAAAACCTTATAGTATAGCGACAGGTTTTTAAATGCACTGAAAATAAGAAAATAATGTTTTTTTTTTCTTTTCTCCCCCCCCCCCCCCCCGCCTTTTTCGCAGAAGTTTGTACTACTTCCTTTTCGATTTTATTGGGTTTTTTAAATGCTGACAGCATTGCTATTTTAGAACAGCATTTTCTCGGGAAAAATCCAATTTGTTATATTGCGGATATGTATAAACAGGAAGAGCTAATGAAAGGTGTGTATCCTGTTCAGTCATTGAACGAACACGCACCATAGCGTACTGAATAGCACAATGCACATCTCAAGTTAGTTGTTCTTTAATAGTGCTTGTAAGTCTCGGTCTCTCTCGCTTAAAATTTGAGATCTCGTTAGCCTGGTAGAGATACAAATTTTTCACTTGAGTAATTGTTGTTAAACATAGTAAGAGCAGCGGCCGCTGTTACTTGCTATTAACGCAAGCGACAGACTTCAACGTATGTTTTATTTTACTTATTTTCTAATTATTAAAAGTTTCTATACATTTATACATTTAGATTTGTTATTATATTTTTAGATTGCTGATTAACGATGGCAGTAGAGAGTTTAGATGTTATTATGTTTAATATGGTCAATTCTGATGTCAAAATCTGACATTTAACTTTAAATGTTTTGATAAAAAATACGCTGTGGGCAAGGATGTTTAGTTTATACAAATTATATACAGATTACAAATATGAAAAACGTATAAATATATATATATATATATCTATCTATATATATAAAAAGCAATGTATGTCTCTCTGTGTGTGTGTGTGTGTGTCTGTCCTTTATGCATTATTACACCTCTCATCACATCGCCGTCAAACTTTGGGAAGTTGTTGAGAATATTCCTGGGGAGGATTCTGCGAAAAAAAATATTTTAAATTCGCAAGGGTGGCGCCCCGGCAGGGCGCGATTTGTTTTTCTCTATATACCGTATCTAAAAATAAAAGTCGATTTTTGTTTGGCATCGTTCATCCGATAGCCATGAGACTTTGGGGAGTTCATTATACCACTCTAGGGAAGGGTTCTGTAAAAAAAAAAAATTTTAATTTCGCAAGGGTGGCGCCACGGGAGGGCGCGATTTGTTTTTCTCTATATACCGTATCTAAAAATAAAAGTCGATTTTTGTTTGGCATCGTTCATCCGATAGCCATGAGACTTTGGGGAGTTCATTATACCACTATAGGGAAGGGTTCTGTAAAAAAAAATTTTTTTAATTTCGCAAGGGCGGCGCCACGGGAGGGTCCGATTTTTCTCTGTATACGGTATATAAAAATAATAAAAGTGAATTGCAGTGACACCGTTCATCCGATAGGCATGAAACTTTGGGGAGTTCATTATACCACGCTAGGGAAAGGTTCTGTAAAAAAATCATTTTTAATTTCGCAAGGGCGGCGCCACGGGAGGGTCCGATTTTTCTCTATATATGGTATATAAAATAATAAAAGTGAATTGCAGTGACACTGTTCATCCGATAGGCATGAAACTTTGGGGAGTTCATCATAAAACTCTAGGGAAGGGTTCTGTAAAAAATCATTTTTAATTTCGCAAGGACGGCGCCACGAGAGGGTGCGATTTTTCTCTATATACGGTATATTTTAAAAATAGTCGATTTTGGTGTGACACTGTTATCTGAAAGCCATGAGACTTTGGGGGAGTTGATTAGAACATTTCATCTAAGGGTTCTGTAAAAAAAAATCCTTTTTTAATTTTGCAAGGGCGGCTCCACGGGAGGCTGCAATTTTTCTCTATATACGGTTTATAAAAATAAAAGTCTATTTCGGTTTCACATCGTTCATCAGTGTACCATGAAACTTTGGGGAGATGATTAAATCATTAAAAAATATTGTTTAATATTGCAAGGGCGGCGCCCCCAGGGGGAGCAATTTTTTTTCTCTATACACGGTATATAAAAAATAAAACTCGGATGCGGTTCATCCGAGTGCCATGAAACTTTAGGAAGTAGATGAGAATACTCCCGAGAATATTTCTGCAAAAAAGAAAACTAAAGTTTCTTATGGGCGGCCCATATAGGGTACAACTTTCGTCAATACACGGTTTAGCGCCCAGAGTTTTAGAGCGACTATGTTGGCACTTGGCACCCGTTAATCGAGCGTGCTGCATAGCGAGTAAGGGGTACTACTATATTCAGCGGTAAAACTACAACAGGCTTCTAAAAATAACTTTGTAACGCGAGGAAATCCTTTTGTACAGTTTCGTCACCTTGCCAATGAAGACAAAATAACTTTTTGAATATGAGGAGCCTATTTTAGTGTTTCGTCACTTTGCGAATGATGCAATAAGCATCTACTATTAGACAATCCCGTCAGAAATTGAGATCGAGCATCTAATAATAGACCATTAGTAAAGCTAGCATATTGCATCAGTCACACTGATGTTTAAAACATGTCAAATACTTTTTTACGTGTTAAAGAAAAAAAGCCTGTTCATTTGTGGCACTTTAGCGAATGATGAAATCTGCATCATTATTAACAGGCTGCTATTTGGCACGATGGCGTCTATTACTTTTAAGGAGCCAGGGGTCGTACGCCGCGCCTATGCGGTAGTGTAATCGGGGGGTGGGGGCGGCTGAGAGCGCCCCTCTACGTCTCTGACACAAGGGCGGTCACCGAAGTGTGTTCTACCATATTATTTCGGTGAGTGATTAATGTACACTCAAGGTTTTCATGCGGTAGTGTAGGTAAACCCGTGTCCTGATATTTATGATCCAATCGCAGACTTTGTTTACATTTAAATAACTCATTTTTAGAAAAGGAGGTCACGCGTCTAAGAACATATAATTGGTAACGCGTTGGTGAAATCCTTCTAATATGCTTCGTCAAACTTTATTCTATCCCCGCGGCAACGCGCGGGGGTCGGGTACGCTAGTATATATATATATATATATATATATATATATATATATATATATATATATATATATACATATATATATATATATATATATATATATATATATATTTATATATATATATATATATATATATATATATATATATATATAATGTGTGTGTATTGTGTATTGTTACATTTAATATTTATTAGATAGTGTGACTTGATTTAAGAACGCACGCCTGCTAAGTCGAAAGTCTTGTTTTCAAATCCAAAACTCGATTCCGTTAGTCTACTCAGCTCCAATGGGTACCTCACTCACTCGAATTTAGTGCGCGTGAACTGGGCGTTTGACACCGTTAGATTAGATGCTCAGTACATAGTGATGTAAAAAAACAACAACAAATTAAGCTTTTTAATATAAAAATAAATTAATATTTGTAAAAAATAATTCAATGCTGTATAACGTTTCTACAAACAAGCTTCATATTACTACTTGTACTACATTTCCTCAAAGAATATGAAATCCGCTTCTCTCTCCCCCCCCCCCCCCCCCCCCAAATAGTTTTGGATTTTTACGAACACTTTCATGGAAAAACATAAGCTTCCTGGTTGTCGTTTTTCCGAAAAGTTGGCTTCAAGAATATCGTTGGACTATATGTGTAGCGGAATAATAGATTAATACACAGCAATAAAAAAAGGTTAAAACTGATTCTGAATAGTCATTAGCCCTATTCGTTCAATCGCATATCTATCCGTTGCAGTTTGTGAGCTTACGATTTGTTTGAAAAATTTTTGGGGACAGGAGAATTGAAATGATTTATTATTACAGATAAAAAGATAAAAACAAATTGAATTTTGTTAGAAATAATTCTAATTCAGTATTGGTGGCTAACTAATAAAATATTATAATTAATTGTTTTTAAAAATTATTTCTTAATTTCAGTTAAAAGTCAACAAGGGAGCACCGTGTTGTAATAATTGTTTTACTTTCTGTTGACCTAAACAAATGGCATGGCAGAGCGCACCTTATGGTACGAAAAACTTATGTTCAATATTTATTAACATTTTAATTTTTTTTTAATCCTATGCATTTTTTTAAACTATTAAATATTTACTTTTTTATAGTTCCATGTCATTATTTATTTAATAACGGCAACAACAGTAGGCACGGGGGCCTTTTTCACATTGGTCGTTTAAAAAAAAATTAATTAAAACAAAAACCAACATAATAAAAGCATTGTAATTAAAAATAAACCGGGAGTGATCTCAGCAATACTTTCTCGAATATTCTTATATAAAATAACAGGGGATGGGAACTCGGGCTATAGACATGATTTTTAATCCATTTTAAATACTTAAAGTTTTAAAAATAGAATAAAATCTCGTAGACAAAAAAATGCACACTAAGTGAACGCCAAATAAAAAAGTGCATAATAGTGCGCAATATTGTTAGTACTTTAAAAAATTTTCATTAGTTTTTTTGAGAAATCGGAAGTAGCGTAAATTACGGAAATTACTCAAAATTTGACAGAAGGTAGAGAATTAGATCTTTTACTTACATGTGAAATTGCATTTATCTATCTGAAATAGTACTCAAGTTACAGGCTTTTGAAAAATTCAAAGTAGAAAAAGTACCACTTCCGGTTATCGGAAATCGCTCAAAAGTTGATACGGATCTACGATTTTGATAAAATACTTATATATGAAATTTCATCAACCTAGCTGTAACGGTACTCAAGTTATCGTGTTTACACACGGACAGACAGACAGGCAGACAGACAGACAGACAGACACACACACAGACATACGGACAAGATTGCAAAATTATTTTTTTCCGTATCAGTGAGATGTAAAACGTCGAGATTTGTAAAAATCTGGATTTTGTTTTTGCACGATTACAAGACTTTCTCTATACTTCGTATATACGAGAAAGTAAAAACGGAGTAGTAAACACATAGCAGTAAAATAGCATTCAAAGATTTGGAATAAAGAAATAATATTACATAGTTATAATGAAAAATGAGATAGAATGCGAATATAATAGATGAATGAGAAATGTTGCAGTGAGTCAGTTAAGGAGGTCATTAAATAAATTTTGTTTTAGTTTAGTTTTGAATATATTTTCAGATCTGGATAGTTTTACTTTATTAGGAAGAAATTCTGGCGGGGGTCACTATACAATGGGGTTTATCTTCCGGAAAATTCCGGAAGGGCCTAACAATTGACCGGTCAGAATTCCCAATATAAATATTGTTAATTTGGTGAAAAACGATGACTATTTTTTAAATTTTCAATGGGGCAGATCAGCGTAATGTCTGTACAGAAGCAGGAATGCTTGCAATTAGAGCAGAACGCGACTACGTTATAGAAGAGGATTTAATGAAAGCTGTGAGGAAAGTAAGGTTAGGTTAGGTTTGCCTGTGGTCCCTTCTGGAACATAGGCCGCTAACAAGAGCTTTCCATGCGTCTCTGGCCTGGGCTAGTCTCTCCAACTGTTGTGCGGAAAGTGGCAGACAATAAGAAACTGGAGAGCAAGCTGGACTACAAACCTGTGTAAATCATGACATTAATGACTATTTATTTCACAATGTATCCTCTAGCAAGGATGACGATAAGTTTAGGTTTATCTAAAAAAAATCACTTCAATTTTGGCTGGTTTAATTTGGTTTTTCAGATACTTTTTTTTTGTTAAAAAAAAATTACATATCAGTCAATGGTATTTATATCTGGGTGCGCTAAATATGAAAACGATTATATAAAATGTTCAAATATTTAGGTACAGTTATTACAAGTATATATCAATGCCTATATATAGGCATTTATATAAACACGATTACTTGAGTACCGTTACAGCTAGGTTGATGAAATTTCATATATAAGTATTTTATCAAAATCGTAGATCCGTATCATCTTTTGAGCGATTTCCGATAACCGGAATTGGTACTTTTTCTACTTTGAATTTTTCAAAAGCCTATAACTTGATTACAATTTCAGATAGATAAGTGAAATTTCACATGTAAGTAAAAGATCTAATTTTCTAACTTCTGTTAAATTTTGAGTAATTTCCGTTGACCGGAAGTAGTAATTTACGCTACTTCCGATTTCTCAAAAAACTAATGTAAATTTTTAAAGTACTAATAATATTGCGCACTATTATATACTTTTTTATTTGGCGTTCACTTGGTGTGCAATTCTTTTGTCTACGAGATTTTATTCAATTTTTAAAACTTTAAGTATTTAAAATGGATTAAAAATCATGTCTATAGTCCGAGTTCCCATCCCCTGTTGTTTTTTATACGAATATTCGAGAAAGTTTAGGTGAGATCACTCCCGGTTTATTTCGCTAGGTTTCAAGGTTTTTTTAAAATTGTATTAACCCTGTTTAGTTTATTTATACCTGTATGTGAATTAACCACACTACTAATATTGTTTTTCTTTGATTACTTCGGTTGATTTCTATAAAATCTTTGTAATTACTTTGCAAAAGTGTACATAAGATGTACACAAATGTTTGAAATGCCACTTTTTTTCTGTTTAATCTTTGTAATTTATCAAAATGGCGTTGATGTTATTGTATTTGTTTTATAATTAAAAATAAACGTATTTTTAAAAAACCCCAGCCAATCTCTAATTAATTAATATTCAAATTCTAAAATGTTTTTGAAAACCTAAGCGAAGCTAGGCAGTATGCCTATTAGAGTGATATAAATGATTAAAACAAGCGATATTTATTACTTTCTCGTATATACGAAGTATAGAGAAAGTCTTGTAATCGTGCAAAAAAAAAAAATCTAGATTTTTACAAATCTCGACGTTTTACATCTCACTGATACGGAAAAACATAATTTTGCAATCTTGTCCGTATGTCTGTGTGTCTGTCTGTCTGTGTGTCTGTGTGTGTGTGTGTAAACACGATAGCTTGAGTACCGTTACAGCTAGGTTGATGAAATTTCATATATAAGTATTTTATCAAAATCGTAGATCCGTATCATCTTTTGAGCGATTTCCGATAACCGGAAGTGGTACTTTTTCTACTTTGAATTTTTTAAAAGCCTATATTTTGAGTACTATTTCAGATAGATAAATGAAATTTCACATGTAAGTAAAAGATCTAATTCTCTACCTTCTATTAAATTTTGAGTAATTTTCGTTGACCGGAAGTAGTAATTTACGCTACTTCCGATTTCTCAAAAAACGCATGTAAATTGATAAAGTACTAATAATATTGCGCACTATTATGCACTTTTTTATTTTACGTTCACTTGGTGTGCAATTCTTTTGTCTACGAGATTTTATTCTATTTTTAAAACTTTAAGTATTTAAAATGGATTAAAAATTATGTCTATAGTCCGAGTTCCCATCCCCTGTTATTTTATATAAAAATATTCGAGAAAGTTTTGGGGAGATCCCTCCCGGTTTATTTAAATGCGAAATAACGAAATAACTACCATAAGTCTGTGATCTAATAATTTTTTAGTTTCCTCTACTCTATCATGTCACACATAGTTATAGTACTTTCGCGTACACGTTCACATTGGCTAATTTACACGTAGGTTATACGTACATGTACAAGTATTCACGTATGTGTACGTATATGTATACGTGCGTGCGTGTACCTGTTTATGTGCATAATTTATACATTACTTTGAAGCTTTGTTTTACAGAAGCCCTAATTGATGTTAGCCCTGATAACAACCGCTCTAACAACGACCAAGTAAACGTAGATACAGCAGGTGTGCGTATCGTACGTCGAAGGGAATTTGGTGGAAATGTACCAGGTCGATGGAATCAAGATGAGGACGGTGAGGGTGAAGTCAGTCTTCCAAATCTGACTCTAACAGACGGCACTACTGTTTTTGCTGATGTTCACACAGAAATGGAAGTTCGTGTTGTAAGTCTTGGGGATGTGACCGCCTAATACACTATTTCAAGCGAAAGGTTGAAAAATCACTCGCAATTATAAAAACACACTTCAATCGATATCAGTAAAAGCGTATTTAATATCAGTTAAAAACCACGTAAACGGTTTGGCCTAGCGGTAATGTCCTTGAGTCCACCCAGCTCTGATGGGTACCTACCCCACGTTAGGGAAAGTAAAGGCAGCTGGGCATAGAGCTGACCACACTATCCCTTCATATACCGAGGTCTCTTAAACAGATAAACTTCACTTCATCTGCTCCAAGATGATGATGAAGCCACATACAATATATGTAAGTAATTGTGAAGCAATATTCGTTTTGGGGATCCATGGGAGAGAGAGGTTCCAATCTTGTTCTAGCCCCCCCCCCCCCCAGGGTATCGAAACATTCAAACATTCCCCTAACCCATGCTCTTTAAATAACGTCGATCTTTCACTAAATCTCTGCATAAAATGTAACAATAATGAAGCGTACAAAACATACAACGGTAGGCCTACTCGCTATTTCAGGAAAAACCACGTCTATGTCGCGAGTACGGCGAACCACTTCCTCACCTTATGGTAGATATGTGGATCCAAACCATCAATGCTGAGTACATACAAATGGCTGAGAACTGGAGAATCTCCAGCTACATGAGAGGCGTGGTATCAGTCTCAGAGGTCAAGTTCAAGTTTACTGCCAGGGAAAGTCCTGTGGAGACTTCTAAATAAACTTGTCAGTGCAGAACTTTCCATATTTTATATATATATATATATATATATATATATATATATATATATATATATATATATATATATATATATATATATATATATATATATATATATATATATTTGTAATGTGCGTGTTACGGGGAAATCATTATACACAAGAGGTGGTCTGTATTTATGCAAGTTTTATTTTCAACGATGCTTCTCTTGAATGTATTTATACATGAGAGGGTAAAATCTTTTAAATTATTAATTAAATTTGATAATAAATTGTGGTAAGAATAAGAACCAAAACTTTTTAGGCCTACAAAGTAAAAAAATAGATTGATTCGGTACATTTTAGGTGTATATTCACATCTTATGAACACAACATATAACGTATTCTAATGCTTTAGTTTTCTGGAAAGGTTAACATAAGATGAAGAGTAAAATAATTAAAACCACTGGTTCATTTTTGTTTACGAATTTTTTTAATTAATTTAAAAAAAAATGCAAATGTACAATATATGATGTTTTGCTTATATTATGTGTGAAGATATTATTTCCAGATATTGTTACCATTCATTGATATCACTGTAACATTGCTTTAGATAAAAACAACGACAGGTGAAAATAATCAGCGGCTTTTAAGTTTGAGAGTTAATGTTAATAAGATATAGTGATATTGCTTCAAAATATGAAAATACGAATACACTATAGTGATTAATTGAAAACAATTAGTAGGGTAAGTCAGTGACCTTAAATTAGATTTAATCTTAAAAGTTACAGTGGTATTGCTAACACATATGAACACAATATACGGTAATGAAGAACAGCCATAAATTATTCTAAAAATTATTTAAGAACATCGACAGCATTGCCTAAAATATAGAAACCAACTTATCAAGTGTGGTGTTAGTATTTTGCTTATAATATAATCTCACTTTTTTGTTCTCAAATAAAAAGCAACTGGAAAGTTTTATTATGTTACTATTTTATTGAATCAAAAGCTGTAAAATTCCGAATCTATAAAATTTCAAATCGTATCAGAATTTCTACTTGGTGACAAAGCTAATACTTTGATAGTTTCTTATAGATGTGCAATTTCTTCTCTACACAGTTTAGCTATAAATTACTTAAAGCAATAGGGCTTCTCGTTTTCGTACTAGACAGCAAGTTCTTTTAAAAACAAAAAAAAAAAAATCTCAATGTTTTTATAAAGCTTGTAAAAATAATTATATAGAAATGTTGCTATTGCTACTTTATATAAAAATCGTAAATTATTTAAAATAATAGACAACAAGAATTAGCCTAGGCTTAAAGAAAAATGTAGCCTACGTTCAATTATGAATTTTTAAGAAGTGTACAACACGTTTTTAAATATTTGAATTCATAACACGCTGTTCTAAACGTAGATACAATAGTAATATAATATTATTAATAGCCTGGGCCTATTGGTACTTTATTCATTTCTGTTATAACTTTTTATCTTGGGTGGGGGGGGGGGGTGACACCACGAAGTGCCGCATCGGGTGACACCCGACCTAGCGACGCCACTGCTTACAAGCCCTATAAGAGCGAGTGTGAGGATTTCCTGCTTAAAATAAGTCTGACAGAACCATATTAGCTTTGCTTGTATTTAGTGTGTGAGATGACGCAAGCAATATATTTATATTATACGTTTTGAAATTGTGGTTCCTTTATTCACTATGACATATTAAAAGCACCCAGATTTTAACAGATTATTTAAAGTCAAATGTATTTTAAGCAATACATAGAATGTTAGCTGCAGAGTTTCTTCCAGGCATCTCTTCGGGGGGGGCCAAGCCCCCCCCCCCCCGAAATTTTTTTACCGCCCCCCCCCCCCCCCCGAACGAAATGAAATTTATATCATTTATATAGAAAATATATACTTTTAACAGTGTCCGCCCCCCGAAGAAAGTTTACCGCCCCCCCCCCCCCCGAAGATTTCAAGTGCCCCCCCCCCCCCCCCGGAGAAAAATGTCTGGAAGAAACACTGGTTAGCTGGTTTATAAAAATAACATAGGCTACAAATTAAAAATTTTAACATTTTGGCTGTTAATTTTTATAATGCTTGCTAAAAGACATTTTAATGTAAAACTATTAATACAATGGTTAACTAAAAATACATTTTAATTTGCAAATTGTAAACATTTTAGTAAAATAAAGATTCTCTTTTATTGTTTGAGATATCTACTCTATCTGGAAGGAAAAAATGCAATTATGTTTTCATATAGTTGATCAATTCAACAATACAGATTTTGCTTTGAAAACCTTAGAAGAATTTATCAGGGCTAAACCAATATATTTGCATACATTTTTGTACCTTATTAAGTAGCATAAATAGTCTATTTTGAAACCAATTTAATATCATTGATTTTTACTCGGCTGGATTTTGCCAACTTTTCTCTTGTTGTTAAAGGGTACTGGATGTTTCCAAAGAATGAAACGTATAATCGGGTACTTCTAAACTCCTATAATATAACGGGAAAATCCTATTGCTGACGTAATATAATATAATTTCTACAGCAAACACACGTCTATTTTGAAATCTTTGCCCTTCTAAATAATCACTGATCTAATCACCATTGCAAATTGTAATCCCAAACCAAGTCTGACACTTTTAGGGTAGCTAACAACCCCTCCCCCCCCCCCTCAAAATTGATGTTGAATTTTTCTTAAAACATCGATATTTTCACAAAATCTTGTCAGAGTTCTGTCAACATAGAGTATTTTGATCAATTCCTATTACAATTTATTAAAACAGTTTTCTAAAACACGAAATAACGGCTAAAACTCATTTTTAACACTATTTTTTTAAATGCAAAAAATTGACGTCACACCATCTGAACCCTCACCCTCATCACATACCGTCACAAAATTACGGACCCCCCCCTCCCCCTACGAGTGTGACGTCATTTATGTACGACGCCGTAGATTGTTCTTGGATGGACAAAGACTATGGAAGCAAACCCAAAAAGAAAAGCAGGCTGAAATAGGAATCAACGGCCTAAAAGGGGCATAACCAGTTGACGCGTATACTTAATTGTCCTAGAGAGAATCCCTTTCAACACTAAAATTAGAAACGAAGAAGAAGAATATTTCTATGGACTGCCACATCACAATTCACAACGATACAAGTGATATCACTTGACACAATGCCTCTTTTTAATATCTCTGTATTTTTCAAAAACTGTATTCATTCTAAATCCGCATACAACTACCCTTGATTTCAACATAACAGGGAGTACATCTCACATTCAATACCTAGCCCTAACTCCCTAGCTTAAGTTCTATAACAACACCGTTTTTTTACATTCCATGCCACTGTCTTTTTATGCGCGTCACATTTTTATTCGTTCGTACTTTCATTATACATCCGCACCGCCATTCATTCATACCAATTTATACTCGTAAAACAAGCATCATAATAGGCACATCAAAACTTTTTGCTTCATATGGCAAATTTGGCACACGAAAAGAAAAAAACTATATTGGCTATATATATATATATATATATATATATATATATATATATATATATATATATATATATATATATATATATATCAAATACACTTATTATTCATACATATTATAAAGATTATGTCTAATGTAAGTTTAGCTGACAGCCTAACCTTTTTGTATGACGTAACCCGCCATGTGACACAACAATTACATGTCACTTGACTAAGTATCGATTATATCTAATCGATGACATGTATTTAAAAATAAGTTTCGTTGTTCTAGTAAAGGGATTTTTTTTTGGGAAAAAAACTTTTCGGAGATTCCAAATTTTTTAAATCAACAAGGGATCACTGTTGTCAGGAATTAATTCCTCGAGGTAAGAATATCAAAAGTAATCTGTTGTGGATGACTGAATTAAACAAAAGGATTCTGTGAATATTTCGTCGTTCCGTAATATACAAATTTGCATTTATGATTTTCTTACCTTTCTAATAAAAACATCTGGAAAAGAGTTATTGTAAAAAAAAAAAAAGTTTTCTACGGTAACTTACGCTACGGCAAGTTACAATAACACATTTGGCAGAATGAAATGTAAAACGAGATTATTTTATCTTCTTGTTTTATAAAAGCACTTAACTGTATTAGATAAGTCTGGGGTGTAAAAGGTTTTTGCATTGATTCAACGTGTTGATGGTATTTTTCTTATATAGAGGTAATAGTTAAACACACAATTAAAACTAGCTTTCAAATGCATTGAAAATAATTTTTTAGAAACTTTTTTTTAAGTAAATCCATTATTCAAGCCTGAAATCTCTTACACATTTTTGCGACCAATGTTTTTACACCAGAAAAAATGTTTTTTTAGCGCATAAAAAGTTTAGAATAATTTTTATAATTGTTGCATTTTATATTTACATACATTATAATGCATATTTTTAAACATATTTTAAATCATTAGAAAATAATAAAATTATTTATATAATTATAAACATATCTCGGGAAATATGAATTGATTAAAAGTGAAAAATCAAATGGGGGAAAAGAGAAAGGGGAGGGGGGGGGGGGACATTGGTGACATGATATTGTTTATAAAACACAACTCTATTTTAACATTTGGTGACATATAAACAACACAGCAAATGAAAAAATTCTAAGACATTGTACATACATAGTGTATGGGATCTTACCAAAACAATTTTGCTCAACAATCAAGAGTGTTTATTTGTTTAAGAGGTACTCAACAGCGTAAAAAGTAAACTCTATTTAAACCATACATACATACATACATACATACATATATATATATATATATATATATATATATATATATATACATATATATATATATGTGTGTGTATATATATATATATATATATATATATATATATATATATATATATATATATATATATATATATATATATTTGTATGTATGTATGTTAATATTTATATGTTTATTAAAGCTCTTAATCGTGCTTATATTTCACATGGTTTAGCTACACCTCTGACTTATCGGTAGTGTTTACAATTAAATTGTGACATTAAAAAT